GCCAACACAGATGAAGAGACCAAAAATTGTTTTTACTGTTGCATATGTATGAATGTGTTCACTTATTATGAATAATCCACTATATTTACACTGTTCTGTATTTACACATATGTACACACACATATTAAACATTTTTTATATACACTAGCCTGCTATAGAAGGTGAGGAATGGGGTTTATCTTAGATTAAGGTTTGGTGGGTTTCTAGAATGGGTGAACCATTGGTAGCTTAGTTCCCATCTTCTCAGTTCTGAGGGGTTGCAGTTTGGAGGCAGTTGTTTTATTATTTTTGAAGAGTAGCAGCTATTAAAATCAGATTTTGAGTGGGATGAGGCATGGTTGACTACTGGTTTGTCTTTATAATTATTTTTTACATCTTGACGATGACCGTTCATTCTGGTACGGAACTGGTTCTTTGTTAGGCCTATATACTGAGCTGGGCAGTTTTTACATTGAAGCTGATAAATTACATTGCTGGTGCTGCAGGTGTTGTGTCCTTGAATCTTGAAAACTTCATTTGTGGCGTTGCTGGAAAAACTTATGGTGGGGGGGTTGATGGGACACGTTTTACATCTGGAAGTATTACATGGGAAAGAGCCGTTTGGGGGTTTGTTTCTGGTTGCTGTAATTGGATCCGGTATCTTAGGATGAACAAGAATCTTTTTGATGTTAGGTGGTTGGCGAAATGTGGTGGTTGGGGGTGTTTTCAGGAAATCCTTTGTGTGTGGGGAAGCTTGGAGAATTTTGAATCCATCTTTTAGAATGGAGTTGAGGGATTGTAGGCCATGGTGGTATTCGGTTATTAGGTTTAGGTTTTGCTGTGGTTTTAGTTTCTTTGTTGGAGGGTTGTTTGATTGGGCTAAACGGATTTGGTTTTCTACAAGGTTTTTGGAGTAGCCTCTTTCAACAAATGCGTTGGAAATTTTCGAATTGAAATTGGAGAGTTCCTTTTCTGTCGAACAAATACGTTTGGCTCGGATGGCTTGGCTATAAGGTATAGATCTTTTGGTGTTGGCTGGATGACAACTGTCAAAATGTAAGTATTGTAAGTTATTGGTGGGTTTGATGTGAATGCCAGTGGTTATCAGTCCACTATTCAATTTCACGCTAACATCTAAAAATGTTATTTCTGAAGGTGAGTTGTTGTGGGTGAACTGTAAAATACTGAAATTTTGTAGATTCTTGAGGAATTCATTGAGGGATTCTGTTCCAGATGTCCAGATTAGAAAGATGTCATCTATAAAGCGGAACCAGCACTCAGGTTGTACTTTTTGCTGTCGGAGGAAGGCTTGTTCGAGGCGACCCATGAAGAGGTTGGCATATGACGGTGCCATTCTTGTTCCCATTGCTGTGCCTTTAGTTTGGATGTAATTCTTTCCCTCAAACTGAAAATTGTTTTTCTCTAGGATAAACAACTCTCCTCGTAGGTCTGTCTGAGTGTAAATTTTGGCAACCATTCACACCACTCAGACAGACATGCAGAGATATAGTGTTCAGTCGGTTTCTTCCCATAAGCCTGGTATCAGATAAGGAACTTTTACCTGATCTGTCTGTCTGCCTGGTTTTCCACAATTACTTGATAAGTAATAAGATTAAACCAACTGTAGGTATTATATACCTCTAAGGATTAAATAAAGAGGAGAAATATGAAAGAAATTTGCAAAAAAAACCTTTAACAGTTGTATTTTGGGAGTAAACAAAATTGTCAAATTTGACATTTCAAACTCTTATAACTCTTGAACGGTTAAACGCATAGGTATGGGATCAACTGTATGGTGTATATAATTGAAATATCTACAATATCTGACCAAAAAATCAATATGTCATACTGGACCATATAATGCTTGTATGGTATCCAGTTCTGGCGTCAGAGGCCTGGCGGCACTGTGGGTGGTCTTTAACTCTACTCTTTATAAAACTCATTTTTTGAGTAAACTGTAGTGTTTTAAGATTTTTTACGGTTTATTACCTTGGTCCAACTAGTAACCTGTTGATATATAAGGTTTTAGACATTCTAAAGTGATTACTTTGAAAAATATAAACAAATAATGTATCGTTTGCACGAGAAAGACGAATGAAATTCTTGTAAATCTGACTATGTTTTTCAATTTTTAAGCAAACTATTGAATTTTTATCCTCTAAATCGGTTCTATACCATTGAGTTTATAGTTCTGTAGTGTAATAAAGCATTTTCAAGCGTTCAAAATATACAACTTTTAAGAAAATAAACAAATAAAGTAAGATTGGACCAAAAATGATTTTGACTATTTTGTAAACATAAGGTTTTTAACCCATCAAACGAGTGTTTTTGGTCTATATTACAGTTTTATTCTATTTATACCGTCTTTGTGCAATTCAGAAAGCCATAATCCTATTCAAAATTATGGTATTTAAGCTTTTTTGGCCATTTTATAGTTGAAATCGGAAATTGCTTTTACGTGAAATTAATTTTCACGTAATGTTTTTAACCCATTCAATGAGTGTTTTTGGTATATGTTGTACTTGTATTCGTTTTATATACTCTTTGTGCAATTCAAAAACTTATAATTGTATTCAAAATCATATTATTTAAGCCAATTTTAAGCATTTAAAGGTTTAAGACGGGAAATCTGTTGGACGAAATTAATTCATGTACGTAATGGTTTTGACGCATTAAATGTATATTTTTGACATAATCTATAATCATGTTAGTTTTTTAGGCTCTTTGTGGTATTATTAAAGCCATACTTTCATTTAAAATCATAGTACTTGAGCCAATAATTGCTATTTCTATGATGTATACAAGGTTGTTTAAAATCAAAAATTACGTAAAAAATGCTAGTTTTTACGCTTAAATGTGACTATTTATGATATATTTCAAAGTGGTTCCATCTATTGGAATAGTATTATGCGTTTAAACGCATTTTTACCCTTAAATTACTACATATTTTTACTTTTTTCGGGAAAAATTGATTTTTTTCGTTGGAAAAGTTATATTTACACGGTGTTTGGACATTACTTCAACATAATTTCAACACGATTACAAATTATTAACTATATTTCTTCTATATAGTCTTTTCAAACGTTTAAAATCGATTCAGAGTGTACAATGTGTATTGACATCCGACTCAAGGCCGACCACCAGGAATTTGCTGACACGCATTCTTTCTCTGTCGGCATATCATAGCCTAATACATTCGTAGTTTTTTCTTAAATCGGAGTTTTGGAAATGATTAAACATATGCATCTTGTAGTACTATTTATGCTGATTAAAACTCAGTTTTAACCAAAGCTTTAGCTATTGTAGTTTTAAAGTTACAGGCGTTTAATGTATTTTAAATGCATTTTTCCCTAAAATAATATGCTTTTCTTGACAAATACAACTGTTTCATCCTCTAAACAGTTGGGACAAACGGTTGACTAGCATTCTAATCACTTGATATCACTCTTAATTATGCTAATCACAAAAAAGCAATTGACAGTATCTTATTACTTGATGTATTGATTATTGCTAAATTTTAAGTTTTTTTGAGCTTAGTTAGGTTAGGTTAGGTTAGGTTAGGTTTGGTTAGGTTAGGTTAGGTTACATACGTTCTATATAAACCTCAAATAACCTTAAAATGCATAAGGACCTGACAGACAGACAGATATCATGTAAAGGTTCCTTATCTGATACTAGGCTTATGGGAAGAAACCGACTGAACACTATATCTCTGCATGTCTGTCTGAGTGGTGTGAATGGTTGCCAAAATTTACACTCAGACAGACCTACGAGGAGAGTTGTTTATCGGAGGTACATATGTGTAAATACAGAACAGTGTAAATATAGTGGATTATTCATAATAAGTGAACACATTCATACATATGCAACAGTAAAAACAATTTTTGGTCTCTTTATCTGTGTTGGCAACCCTGACAAGGTGTAATAGATTCAAATTGCAACTGCCATTGCCATTTCTCCAATCTCCAGTGGTTGAAAAAGTGGTCAGTGACCACGAAAATTTCTACTTTTAATTTTGTAATTTTGTGATGTTTTATGTGTCTCTATGGACTTATTTAAAGGTAAGCCTGCTTTCCTGTCAATTTCCTTAATAATTCCTGGCAAATGCCCTATCTTTTTATAAGATAACCTTAAAGTGAAACCATTTTCCTTTCCTCTCTTCACAGCTATGTTCTAACCTATTCTCCTTTCTCTATTCCATTTCCTTTTCTACCTCCTTCAAAATGAATTTACATATTTGTTGGCTCAAACAACTGAAAAATGCAGCTTTTAAATTGGCAAAAGTGAATTCCCATGTTTTATTCCTGGAAGCTTGTGTTAACCTAGGCCTATCTCCTTTAGGCCTTACTGCCAAACCACCTCTCTCAGGCACCCCACAATTTATGTGGCCTAAACTGATTAACTCTTATAAAGCAATATCTTTAAATACAACAAAAACTGTTTTGGAAGATTACAAATCTGAACAATACAAACTGATCAAAAGTCTCAACTCCAACTACCGACTCTTACTAAGTACTGCTCCAAACCTCATTGAAGAAATAGTAAGAACTATAACAACAGCCAAACTACTTCAAGAAAAACTTGCTGGAATCAAATTGAAAAAGCTCTCCAAACTATGTATTCAAAGGTTAAATGACTATGGCTACATTGAGGCCTATCAGAAACCCTCCAACAAAGATATACCCTTACTAGGTGATAGGCCTAGCCTAGCTTCTCTTTTTAAGCTTCCAATACCAACTGGGCAGCTTCCCCATCTACCAAAAACACCTAACCTAACTCCAGTTTATAAAAAAACAAATAATGAAAAACCAGCATCCACTTCTTCCACCAACTCCATAATGAATATTTCAAACCATCATTTAACTGAGGATGAAACTAGGGTACTTTCTAAAGGCCTAACCTTCACACCGACTCAGAAGCCTGACCTATTCAGCCTAGGTAAAGATGTTTTCTCTTTTGCCAGAAACCTCCGGATACAATACTATTTGTACGAACATCCTAATGCTCTAAATAACGCAAACATGCCTGAAGACTGTCTAATGAAGTTTAAACCTCCATCTAATTGGGACCCACCTCCACTACAACCAGATCATCCGATAGAACTATACATAAACTATATAATGCAAAGTATAACTGATCCAAATTTTAAGAACAATCTTTCAGACTCAGACAACCTAACCAGACCTGAAAGAACAGCCCTACGATCTTTACAGAAAAACAAGGACATCATGATTTTACCGGCGGATAAAGGATCAACAACTGTCGTAATGAACACTGATGACTACAAACAAGAGGCCTACAGACAACTTTCAGACAGAACAACATACAAACCAACTGATGAGGATCCTACAAACAAATTTAATGAGGAATTAAATCAGTGGCTAAAACAAGAAGCTCCACGTCAGAACATTTCGACTAGTACACTGGACCTACTAATTAACAAAGAACCCAAAACACCTCAATTCTACATACTGCCAAAAATCCACAAAAACATTTTACCCCCTCCAGGCAGACCGATTGTGGCCAGCTGCAACTCTATAACCGAAAGAATCTCGGCCTATCTTGATTCCCATCTTCAGCCTGTAGTAAAAGAACTACCCTCCCATGTGAAAGACACCAATCACTTCCTAGACAGACTTCAAATGATTCCCACACCTTTGCCACCTGATGCCATTCTAGTAACTGTAGATGTAACCTCACTGTACACCAACATCCCCCACACGCATGGCCTAGCAGCTTTGGAACACTTTCTTGATCAACGACCGAAAAACTCACTTCCATCCACTTCTTTTCTTATCAATTTGGCCAAATTTATCCTAGAGAAAAACAATTTTCAGTTTGAGGGAAAGAATTACATCCAAACTAAAGGCACAGCAATGGGAACAAGAATGGCACCGTCATATGCCAACCTCTTCATGGGTCGCCTCGAACAAGCCTTCCTCCGACAGCAAAAAGTACAACCTGAGTGCTGGTTCCGCTTTATAGATGACATCTTTCTAATCTGGACATCTGGAACAGAATCCCTCAATGAATTCCTCAAGAATCTACAAAATTTCAGTATTTTACAGTTCACCCACAACAACTCACCTTCAGAAATAACATTTTTAGATGTTAGCGTGAAATTGAATAATGGACTGATAACCACTGGCATTCACATCAAACCCACCAATAACTTACAATACTTACATTTTGACAGTTGTCATCCAGCCAACACCAAAAGATCTATACCTTATAGCCAAGCCATCCGAGCCAAACGTATTTGTTCGACAGAAAAGGAACTCTCCAATTTCAATTCGAAAATTTCCAACGCATTTGTTGAAAGAGGCTACCCCAAAAACCTTGTAGAAAACCAAATCCGTTTAGCCCAATCAAACAACCCTCCAACAAAGAAACTAAAACCACAGCAAAACCTAAACCTAATAACCGAATACCACCATGGCCTACAATCCCTCAACTCCATTCTAAAAGATGGATTCAAAATTCTCCAAGCTTCCCCACACACAAAGGATTTCCTGAAAACCCCCCCAACCACCACATTTCGCCAACCACCTAACATCAAAAAGATTCTTGTTCATCCTAAGATACCGGATCCAATTACAGCAACCAGAAACAAACCCCCAAACGGCTCTTTCCCATGTAATACTTCCAGATGTAAAACGTGTGCCATCAACCCCCCCACCACAAGTTTTTCCAGCAACGCCACAAATGAAGTTTTCAAGATTCAAGGACACAACACCTGCAGCACCAGCAATGTAATTTATCAGCTTCAATGTAAAAACTGCCCAGCTCAGTATATAGGCCTAACAAAGAACCAGTTCCGTACCAGAATGAACGGTCATCGTCAAGATGTAAAAAATAATTATAAAGACAAACCAGTAGTCAACCATGCCTCATCCCACTCAAAATCTGATTTTAATAGCTGCTACTCTTCAAAAATAATAAAACAACTGCCTCCAAACTGCAACCCCTCAGAACTGAGAAGATGGGAACTAAGCTACCAATGGTTCACCCATTCTAGAAACCCACCAAACCTTAATCTAAGATAAACCCCATTCCTCACCTTCCATAGCAGGCTAGTGTATATAAAAAATGTTTAATATGTGTGTGTACATATGTGTAAATACAGAACAGTGTAAATATAGTGGATTATTCATAATAAGTGAACACATTCATACATATGCAACAGTAAAAACAATTTTTGGTCTCTTCATCTGTGTTGGCAACCCTGACAAGGTGTAATAGATTCAAATTGCAACTGCCATTGCCATTTCTCCAATCTCCAGTGGTTGAAAAAGTGGTCAGTGACCACGAAAATTTCTACTTTTAATTTTGTAATTTTGTGATGTTTTATGTGTCTCTATGGACTTATTTAAAGGTAAGCCTGCTTTCCTGTCAATTTCCTTAATAATTCCTGGCAAATGCCCTATCTTTTTATAAGATAACCTTAATGATGATGGTAAAAGATATTTTATCACATTTATTGATGATTACACAAACTTTACTATGGTTTATCTTTTAAAAGGCAAGTATGAAGTGTTTGATGCAGTAAAACAATATTTTGCAGAAGTAGAGGCTAAATGGAACTTAAAAATTCACAAAATCCCATGTGACAATGGTGGAGAATATATTTCGAAGGATCTCCAAGATTTGTGTAAAACAAAGGGTATAGTGTTAGACTACACTGTTCCTTATTCGCCACGGCTAAATGGCAAAGCTGAGAGGATGAACCGAACTCTTTTAGAAAAAACAAGAGCACTGCTGTTTGATTCAGAATTAAGTAAAGAGCTATGGGGAGAAGCTATAAGAACAGCCGCATACATTGTAAACAGAAGTCCTTGTGAGTCAGTTGACACTACACCATGTGAAAAATGGTATGGCCAAAAACCAGATCTATCAAGGTTAAGAATTTTCGGCAGCAAAGTTTATGCTCGTATAACCAGGCCTAACTTGGGAAAGTTGGATATCAGAAATGAATCATTTATTTTTGTGGGATATGGTCTGAATGCGTATAGGATATGGGATGAACGCTCTAGGAAAATAAAAGTCTCAAGAGATGTGAAATTCGTTGAGTACAAAAGCAAGCATGTTGGCAAAGAACAGGAGAAAACAACAATTATTGAAGACGATGACAGTCTAAACGATGAGAATGACCAGAAAGGAGACAAAAATGAAAATGACAAGAAAGAAGACAAAAATGAAAATGACCAGAAAGAAGACGAAAATCAAAATGGAGATATCGAGAGTGCAGATAATCTAAGTGAGATAAGTAATAATGAAGTAGAGTTTGAGTTGGTTTCAGACAAAAATGAAATTAATGAAGAACAGCCAAGTTCAAGTAATACTGATTCTACACAAAACATCAAACTAAGAAGAAAAACTAAACTACCTGAAAGATATAAAGATTTTGTGATGTTGATGATATGAAGAAGCAATCAAAGGACCAGATAAAAAGAATTGGCTACAAGCAATTGAGGATGAGAAAAACTCCCTTATTGAGAATGAAACGTGGGAAGTGGTTGACAAAAAGCGAGCACTAAACAAGAAGATCCTAAGTAACAAGTGGGTATTAACAAGAAAGGATAACGGAAAATACAAAGCGAGACTAGTTGTAAGAGGTTTTGCCCAAGAAAAAGGTATAGACTATGAAGAAACCTACAGCCCAGTTGTAAGTAATTCAACTTTACGTTTGTTATTTTCATTAGCTGCCAAACAAAATCTCAAACTAATGCAATTTGATGTTAAAACTGCTTTTCTCTTTGGAAATTTAGATGAAGAAATTTATATGTGTGTACCTGAAGGGTTTGATCATAAAGATAAAGTTTTGAAATTAAGAAAGACTTTATATGGACTTAAACAAGCTCCATTTAAATGGAACCAGTTGTTTACAAACTGCTTACTAAAATATGGCTTAAAACAAACTCAGTCTGACCGTTGTGTTTTTACAAATGGCAGTATTCATCTTGCTATATTTGTTGATGATGGAATTCTTGCTGGTTCAGATGAAAGAGAGATGAAGAAACTTTTGAACTTTAACGAGCTGTCTAGATATTTTAAAATAAAAACAGACGAAAACCCATCAAACTTTCTTGGAATGGAAATTTTATATTCAAGGGAAGGGATATTGTTAACACAAAAGAACTATTCAAACAGTATTCTCGAAAAATATGGAATGATAGATTGTAAACCTGTAGACACTCCCATTTGTCCAGTGAAAACGAGCAAACCTGATGAAGAAGTAAGCTGCCTGACAAAAGATTATCCTTACAGAGGAGCTGTAGGAAGATTGCTGTACTTATCCAATAAAACCAGACCTGATCTTACACTTGCTGTGGGATTAGAAAGTAGACGTGTTGAGAATCCAAGCAATGAAGATGTTGTAAATGTCAAACGAACTTTAAGATATATTAAAGGTACTCAAGACGCAGGAATATTATTTTCAGCATCAGGAGAAAATTGCCTAAATGTATATTGTGACGCAGACTATGCAAATTGCAAGCATACAAGAAGAAGTACTACTGGATTTGTCATAATGTATGGAGAAGACCCAATAAGCTGGTGTACAAGAAGACAACCGATTGTAGCTTTGTCCAGCACTGAAGCAGAATACATTGCAGCGGCGGAATGTGTCAAAGAAGTGTTATATTTAAAAACTTTCTTGCAAGAGTTGAGTGGAACTAATGTTGAAACAAACCTAAACATGGACAATCAAAGTGCTATTAAGCTTTGTAAAAATGGAATTTTTAATAAGCGAAGCAAACACATTGATGTTCGCTACCATTTTTTCACTGAAAATGTAAGGCAAGGTAAAATAAACATTTCTTTTGTTTCTACATCTGGGAATGTTGCGGATATGTTTACAAAACCCTTGAACAATGTTAAGTTTCATCAATTTAGCAAAGCTTTGATCAACTATCCAAAATCTTGAACAGAAGACGATAATCGAGATATTTATTTTTTGTTTCTTATATAAAATTAAAATTAAGGGAAGGTGTTGAATGTAATTTTATTTTTATTGAGCGGAGCGAGCGGAGCGAGCGAAGCGAGCGAAGCTCTTTGGGATCAACTTCAATGCAAACAATATAACACCATCACTCAATAACGGCTGAACACATTTCAGCCAAACTTAACAAGACTACTTAGACTAATAATGAGATGGTTTGTAAACAAACAAATTTCAATTAGATAATGCTAATGCAATTTAAAACGAACTTAAAATTTAAAATTTTTAACATTGGGCTTATGGGACTAAAGTAGCTATGACAGTTTTTTTGTTTACAAGAAAAATGTAAACAAGAGAATCATAAGGTATTTCTGAACTTTCTATACTTTTCTTTTAAACGATTTTAAACCATTCCTATGATTTTAATAAACAAGAAAATGCCGTTAAAACATTTTTTTAAGGCACGGAATTCACTGAAAATCGAGAAAATATACTGAACTACTTTCTCAATGCGCGGAGCATAAACAAGGAGCGGAGGGATACGGACCGGTGACTACTTTCTTGGGAACCTATTTGTGTTGCCAGCTGATTAGAAACAGCCAATGTTAGAAATCAGGATTTAATAAGCGATATATCGAACCGCATCGAAATCGGTATTTAATCCGATAATACCTCATAGGTTATATTATGTTTAATTACATCGACGGTACAGTAAGTTATTACACTTATTGATAAAACGCAGATTGAACACTGATTTAGGCATGTGGGGAGGTAGGTCGGGGTTTATGAGTATTCGTGACTACATTAAGTGTTTTGAAGTAAGGTTAGATTAGGAAGGTATAGTGTAGGTTATAGGTAGGCGATCGGGTTCTTTATTTGTGTTGCACCATATAATTTTTAACTTTTGGAATGGAATAGTTGGTTAAGGTTAAACGGGGAAACGATTTCAAAAATGCTTGCATATGGTCTTAACTTAACAAACCATCTACAGTATTCTAGCTTTGACTTTATATAAAGTCAATGATTCTAGCAAATTATTACATACTGACCAAAAGAAAAGAGAACATTTGGATTTGTACCTTTGACCATAGCAAAACTAACATATAATTATGGAATGTGAAAAGTTGTATATCATTATATACTATTCTGTAATATTAATAATTGTTCGGCAAATCCTCATTTTAATGGCTCGGCTGAAAATGGAATCTGCATTTTGTGAAACAGTAATTTGGTAACAATTCAGTTATTTCAAATGTTGATAACAGTAGCCCACCCTATACAAATACTGTTATTTGATTGCCAAGCCACGGACTATACATACGTCCAGTTACAACCGTTGATAAGTAAACCTGGGCTTATAGAAGTACACTTTTAACCACGGTATGGATAATTGTCTAGGCCTGTCCAGAAGTAGGCTACTAATTTCTAATTATATTATCTACATTGTATATTTAAGGCATGTCTTCCCTACTTATTATATTATTCTGTTTTCACTTAAATCAGCTGAATGCGATGTTTACTTATTACTTATGTTTAGGCCTACATTTCAGCCATTTTATGTTGCACGGTTGAATTTAAATGTCAAATTTCCCCTCCTGTTGTTATACTTTAATACTCGTTTTTTTATAGTTACTGTTTTTTTTATACTTAAATACTTTAACCGATTGTAAGGGTGAAAAATGTAGCCCAATGTTTTTTTGTTGTAGGCTACAGTTGCATTTGAATGTCAAATTACCTTTCTCATTTTTATACTTTACTTTTTGGATGTTAATATCAGATTCCAACTACTGTAATATTTTCCTGGTCAAAACTACCATAATGCACTTCTCGAAGAGGTAAATTTGAGTTATTATAATTTTAATCTTTAAAACCAGCATTAGTAAATAAATCTATTGACCTTTTTACATTTAGTTACTTATACAAATATCAAATCACGTTTGTTCCGCTCAACTGGCTTTCACCTCTCTGAAAGCAACCCTAGTATAATATGTTTGCTGTTACTTGTTCTGTATTTAATTTAATTTATGTTGGTAACAGCTGATCATGTGTAAATAGTTAGGATTTTTTTTATTGTAAAGAGAATTGTTGAATAAGTTATGTTTGAGT